CCTCCCCCGCTCAGAAGTCCTCGTGGACCAGCTACCAGCTCTCGGATTCGCCAATGGGTCTGGAGGTCTGTTTCTTCTCCGGTTCTGGTCCTGTTCCTGGTGGGTTCCATGTGGCTCTCTGAATCTGCTGGGCACCGAAGTCACTGTACAGTAATAAGCACTCAACTTTTTCGGATCAGTTCAAAACTTTCCCTCCATTTCAGCAGAAGGCAATGGGGCTTCTGGGTGGGGCACTGTTGGCTTCTGGGAAATGTAGTACTTATGAGCATGGATACAGTATAGACTTATTTAGAGAAAACTACAAAATGGCTGCGCCCGTCTGAAGTATTTTATTTTTCGTTAACTTTTTACTGTACAGTATCCCGTACTATCCCAATCACGTGACTAATATTAAAGTTGACAATCATGTGTCATGTACAAATTATTAATTAATTAATTTATTTTCCTCATGTTCATTCTTTGAAAAACCGCGAAAAAGTGAGTCCGCGAAAGTCGAACCGCAAAGTAGCGAGGGACTACTGTATTGCTGATTGCTTGCTGACTTTGCAAAATGTTTTGAGCCTGTTCATATTTTTAATTGAAATTCTAACCGTGTCTCTTAACATGAGAAGAACTTGTGAGCTACAAATTATTCAAATAAAAATACAACTTACTCATGTGTGTTTTCAATGTATTAGAAAAGGAGACTTAACTTAGTTTAATGAAGTTTACTTAAATTCATTTTTAAATCTAAAAAGGACTTAACCCCTTGTATAAAACTGAACTGCATGATTGAAGTAGATGTTCACAGTGTAACATCATGTGAACTTAGCTTTCACACACTGTTTTTTTATTTGTTGAAAGCTAGAACTGACAAGACAATGGGATAAAGAATTGTACTTGAAGTCTGCTAATTCATATAGGCTTAGTTTTTACAATGTAGTGTTGTTATAGATGAAGTTTGCACACCGTATATTTGTAAATCACACTGTGGGTCAGCCCAAAGGAACATTTCTGACCAACAGAACAAAAAATATGGAATCATAACATATATGATGTTGATATTTAAAGATGAAATCCACTCCCTGTTCTTTCTAGTACATTTCATTTGTTTGTTTCATTTATTTCCTGGTTAAGAGTTCAGTTACTTAAGAGTAACATAAGAGGAAAAAACACATTGCTATTTGCATAGTTTTGTTTGGCTTAAGATTTTTGCCAACATTGCAGCTTATGCACATGTCAAGAGTTAATTTTCTTCAGTTACAGATATTTTTTTATGTATCTGTATGAATTCATAAGGATCTACATTTTTACAATAAGTAAGTAAACACTTGAAGAGATAAATAACTGTATTGATTTCTTTTAGGTTTTTTTTTTTTTTCTCCTGGAAAACAATTTTTGTACAGGCCAAAACTGGCAAAAACACTTTTTGAATACTCAGTTTGCTACAGTTTTTATGCCTTTTAAATAGGATAAATACAATATGATCATTATGTCTGTTTATAACTGAGTGAACTTACTATTTGCATTTCTCTCCAAAAAAAAAAACCTAGCTTTTTCCTTCTTTCTTTCAACTTGCTAACATATGGTTATTACTGAAGCTGCACAAATATCTGTCTTTGTTAAACATCTGCGTTGCTTTTTGCAGATACTTGGTTACTTTGACTATGCTTTCACCGCTATCTTTACTGTTGAGATCGTTTTGAAGGTAAATGGCCTGTGTCCCTGTCTGTGCTGTCACTAACCACACCCCGATAACACTCCCAACATCTTGTTGCCTTCCAGGTCCTAGGCTATGCAGATTATGTCTTCACTAGTATGTTTACATTTGAGATCGTATTGAAGGTAACCCTTTAGAATAACGAGAGCCTTGCTGCATTGTCTCCCTGTGTGTCACCTGCCAATTAGAACCTAGCTTGTTTGTTTCCTTTCTCTTATCTTTTTTTTTCATGGCACCTCTTTTAAAAAAGGCAAACAATCATTTTAGCTTCTTTTTTTTGAACACCTAAACTTAAAAAAAAACACAAGATTTGCTAGAAATACACTGATAAATAAATAATTCCTATTGGGGGAAGGAAACATCGCATTTACATGACATTATGCTCACTTGGGTGTAACATCATTCTGGCACTCATCGCTGATGAAAATGTGGAAGACTTTAATGCAACCCTTTTTGTGTGATGCAACATAACTGAACGGGCTGTTTAGACATCGTTATAAGGCATTGGCTGAAGTTGAGTTTGAGGTCCGAGTTTGTTCAAAAGTGCTAAAAAATCATCTCCAGTCAAAGCTACTACCATGCCGCTCATACTGACTGCTCTTCAGGTTACCCATAAAAGAGGGGGCAAAACCAATCATGTTCATAGTGAGCATGGTTCAGTCTGCTTTCTCTGACTGACTGCATGTAAATGTGGAGTCGCCTCTGCAGCTGTTTGGGCAACAAACTTTAGACCACAGCTTTCTGACTCTAAATTCTCCATTGCTACTAGACAGCAAGCTTCATCTCTCTGCAGGGCTTCACATCTATATGCACTAGAAAACATTTTTTTTTTTTACTTTTATCAGTTAAAGAAGAGTTATTTTGGCTGGCTTTATTTCTCTTCCTGTTGAGTTTCAAATTGGAAGCTGCCTCCTTTTATTCTGAGTTGATAAAGAACATAATAGAATGTGCTTTAAGACAACGGTCCACATGAATGTGACAGTAAGGCCATTTCTAGTTTCCAATCACTATAACTAGACCTCTTGCAGGTATGAATATCCCTGACCTTAAGGCAACAAAATGCATGTTTTATTGCCTCATCCCATAGTGGATTGTGAAAAGAATGACTTACTACTACATTCATGTAGTTAAGGGCCGTGGGGGTGACGATGGTAGATTTAGCCTCCTGTTTCTCTGCTCTGAACTCGTCACCCCAAATCAGAGTGATCTAAAAGAGTGTGGAGAAAAGTGTGTGTGTGCGTGTTTGACTGCAAGGTACTGAGTGCTGAAAGTGTGTTTTTGTTTCTGTTAATAAAGTATAAAAATGTTGCTGTTATCTGTCTGTGAAAAAAAAAGACAATTTTTAGCATCTTTAACGCCTTCTCTTCCTCCTGTCAGATGACAACATATGGAGCTTTTCTCCACAAAGGAGCATTCTGCAGGAATTACTTCAACCTCCTGGACCTGTTGGTGGTTGGAGTTTCCCTTGTCTCCTTTGGTATTCAGTGAGTACAAAAACACAGAAATATGACTCTAAAATGTTTCAGAAATAATGTAGTCGCAGGAGATAACACAGTAGTGTTACACATCTAACCAATCATTTGTCCTAAAGTTATGGCTGATTGGTGTATAGTACTTTGCAAAAGTTTTTAAATCACCTGATTTCAGTATAGTTTGCTCCCAAAGAGCAAGCTTTTTTGCCCTTTGGATATCAGCTTCAATTTAATTCAGTTTATTGTCTTTGTGACTTTAACAAGATGATTATAACAACAGGACTAGTTTCACCCTGAATCAGATCTGGACCCTGCTGGACCTCTGTTTTTCCACCTCGGTTTCCTTAATTTGGGGAAATCGGTCGATACTTGCATGAGATTGCCCCATTTTTTAGTTTTAACAACAATTGTCTAAACTTCTTTTATATTTCAGAGCACAACCTCATGGCCAGTTAAAACAAGTTTGTATTGTTTCTATTATTGTTCTATTGCATTGTTTGTATTGTTTGATATTGTTCAAGGATATGTTTTTCAATAAAATAATATTGGAAAATTGAAGGTGCATTGTGACCTTATAACACCTGACAGTGTCGCTTCTGAAACAAAATCAGTATCGGCCAAAATCGGAATCGGCAAGTCAGGCTTTTTAGAAATTGGTGATCGGCCAGAAAACTGCAATTGGTGCACCCCTCGTTTGAATGTTTGATGTTTTGAACCACTTTGGCCATGGCTGCCTCAGACGTGTTGGTGCGGGAGAGAGTGGACTCCAGAAAACATTTTATCACCATCAAACTGGTTGGCCCATGTGAATGTGCTTCTCATAAGACTGAGTTTGTTGTGTCTCCTTGGACTGATGAAGCCTTCTGGATGAAAGGCAAAACATTTCAATGTAAATAAACCATCCAGAGGACCTAATTTAATTTTTTTGGCTTTTTTACCTGAATTATTGAGCATGAACTTTGATATTTAAAGTTTAATTAAAGTTTTTACAAATGGATGCGTGGCTGTGCCATGGGATCTCCAGTGTCACCTATTGTGGCCAGTCTCTAAATGGAGGAAGTGGAAATGAGAGCCCTAGACTCTTTCAAGGGAAAACATTGAGCCACTGGTTCAGATATGAGGATGATATCTGGGTCAAAATCTGGGCTAAGGAAGTAGAAGCATTAACCAGACGTGAACTCTCTGGACAACAACATCAAGTTCACCAGAGGAGGCTAATGACAACAAGATGTCATTTTAACTGTTTGGTGTTCATGGAAAAGATTTGAAGCCTCAACACTGAGCTTTACAGGAAACCAACTGAGTATCTTCAGTTTGACTCTCACTGGAAACACAAACTTTCTTTCATTAGAAATCTACACCACTGGGCCAAACATTCATACCATGAATGTAAAGAGAATGTGCACTTTTTTTTAAACAACTCGGACCATTGTTAGTCCTAGTAGACTAAGAAAAAATGTGCAAGAGCTGTCCAGAGCTGTTACAAGAAGCAGCAAATTTAATGGAAGAAGGTCTGAGGCAGTCAGGCCCTGGTGACCCCGGCAGCTCCATCACTGCAGCAGAGGCCTGTCGGGTCGCAAACCCCGGCCTGTGCAAGGGATTCATTACCTTCAGCATTTCCTCAGTGCGAACTGAACTCGACAAAAAAGCCTTTTCTTACTCTGCTCCTGTAGCCTGGAACACCTTGCAAAAAGACCTGAAGCTATCGATTTTTGTTCCTTTAAGGGATTTTAAACATTTGATAATGTCAATAGAAATATCAAAGCAAAAATGTTCTTGTTTGTAGTATTTTACCTTGTTTATATGGCATCTTGATTTCACTGTGTTTATAACTTATTTTATTTTTGATTTTAACTGCTTTTTGTTGAATTATTGTTGTCTGTACTTTATATGTTATCTGTCTAAAAAAAGGTCTCTTATGAAAATGAGTCCTCGTGACTCACTGAGACTAACCTGTATAAGTAAAGGTTGAACAAATGTCCCCACAAAGACAGAAGGGAAGGAAAAGGAACAGAAACACCTCTACAAAGTTTTCCAAATCTTGTGGATATCTTAAGTGGGTCTTTGTAAAATCAGCAAAGAAATTTAAAAAACACTCCACAGAACAGAACAGGGTGAAAAACAAACGCAAAAACATTATCATCCTAGATGTTGCATTATAATGTATGTTTTTTATGGGTTGTGTGTATTCTCTTACTATATTTAATTTGTTACACCTCTCAGGTCTTCAGCCATCTCTGTGGTGAAGATTCTTCGAGTTCTCAGAGTGCTTCGACCCCTGAGGGCCATCAACAGGGCCAAAGGCCTTAAAGTAGGAATTCAAGCTCTTCTTGCAATATTTGTACATATGTTTATACACAGCATTAACCGTAGTTTAAAACTCTGTGTATTAATTGTCATCTCCCTGTCTTGCAGCATGTTGTGCAGTGCGTCTTTGTGGCGATCAGAACCATCGGTAACATCATGATTGTTACCACGCTGCTTCAGTTCATGTTTGCTTGTATAGGTGTGCAGCTATTCAAGGTAAGCAGCACTGAGCTTTAAAAACACCTTCATATATTTGTGAAGAGAGATTATTTTTAAATGGATATTCATGGTGGTTTTTTTGTTGTTTTTCAAGGGAAAATTTTATCGCTGCACAGATGAAGCCAAGTCCAGCCCAGTGGAGTGCAAGTAAGTGTCACTTCTTTTGTTTCTACACATTTTTCCACACTATGTTGAGCTTTATCCTGTGTGTAAATTGTCATGTCCTTACAGGGGCACCTTCATCCTGTATAAGGATGGAGATGTGAACCAGCCAACGGTCCACAGACGAGTGTGGCTCAACAGTGATTTTAACTTTGACAATGTCCTCATGGCCATGATGGCTTTGTTTACCGTGTCCACTTTTGAAGGCTGGCCTGCGTAAGACTAATTTTACTCTGTGTTTAAATACTCACACAAAGTGTTAAATGCCATTTTAAAACTTGCATTACTCAGAACTGTTCTAGAATTGCGCCGCTCAGGGTGACTGCATGTTGGTGTAGCTCTGTTACATTCATTCTGAGATTTTGCTTTTGGAAACTTTAATTCCTGTTTTTCTGGACGTAAATCACTTTATTTTTGGATGATTACTTCCTCTGGTATCAGATGCTGTGCAGCTGGAAGGATTTTTAATGAAACTTTTTTTAGTTTTGAACATTTGTTATAATGTGTAACCATAACACCAAGGTGTTTTTACCACTGGGAGCTGCTGATTAACATCTCAAAAGCTCTAATCATATATAAACTATAGTCCCAAATCTCAAAGGAGTTGAAATGGAGGCTCCGTGGATGCATTCCTGTCTACCTGCCAGCTGTGCTCAAGTGCCTGACCACTGAGATCCTAAGATCTTCTAAGGAGATGCTGGAACTGGCAAGAAACGTGGCTCATGACAGCAGAAGGACCGGGATCGTCCCCCGACCAGCTGTCCGCAGTGACAAGGAGCTTGGCAGACTGCTGGAAGGAGTGGCCATCGCTCTGGGAGGAGTTCTGCCCGGCATTCAGTCGGTCCTGCAGCCCGGGGAACCAAGAGGCCAGCCGAGTCTGGGTGGATGAATCAGATGGCATCTGCAGCCAGTTTCTTCAGATCCACTGTGGGACGGCCCTTTACAAGAGATCCTTCCTGCCTACAGCCATCAGTGGCTTAATGAAATGAGGATAATGAGTTACAACAGCATTTAATTTCCCTTTGGGATTAATAAAGTATTATTGAATTGAATTGAATCAGTGTGCCTGAAGTGCACAGAGTCATCAGTGGTCTGAATCACTTGTGTGTCTCTTTAGGTTACTTTACAAAGCCATCGACTCCAACAGGGAGAATCTCGGTCCCATTTACAACTACCGTGTGGAAATCTCCATCTTCTTCATCATCTACATCATCATCATCGCCTTCTTTATGATGAACATCTTCGTAGGTTTTGTCATCGTCACATTTCAGGAACAAGGAGAGAAAGAGTACAAAAACTGTGAACTTGACAAGAACCAGGTGGGAGTTATTAGCAGACTTTACATTTGCTGACAGGTACTTGTTGTACAATGGATGTAAAACCTGCTTGCTATGTTTCTGTGCAGCGTCAGTGTGTGGAGTATGCTCTTAAAGCACGTCCACTGAGGAGATACATCCCTAAGAACCCGTACCAATACAAGTTCTGGTATGTGGTGAACTCCACGGGGTTTGAGTACATCATGTTTGTGCTCATCATGCTCAACACACTCTGCCTGGCCGTACAGGTAAGATGTCACGTGATCCCATATCTGAAACAAACCAGATATTTCAACTAAATCTGCCTTTGATAAAAAAGCAAATGTAACACTTAATGAGTAAATATTCTAAGTGATTGTAGAAACCTATTATAAGAAAGACATCTGCATTTTATCTCAAGTTAAAAATTCAACTGAAATTTTCTTTGAGCATAATTAAAATAAACTGTTGCAGCTTTTTTTCTTTTTAATTCTATCAATTTTCGCCCACAGCATTACGGCCAATCAGCACTTTTTAATTATGTCATGGACATTCTCAATATGGTCTTCACTGCTGTGTTTACTGTGGAAATGTTTCTCAAACTCATCGCTTTCAAACCCAGGGTGAGTATAAACACTGAAAAAAACAAAAACAATTAGAACTGTAACTTGTACACAAACATTTTTGAGGATTTAGTCACCATCAACGTACAAAAGATTTTGCAAGTAATTATTTGACATTATGAGACATTTTCTCATTCGAATCAAAGCTGGCTGCAGTCGTCTGGCCAGTCTTTGGTTACTGATCCACCGCTTTGAACGGAGCTATGGATGGGCACATCTTTTGGTTTTCTGTGACGAAATGTCACTGTTGCAGAAATATACCGTACTTGCTGTTGTACACGTCACACCGCCTTATAAGTTGCATCAGTCCAAAAATGTCTAATAAATTGGAAAAAACATAAACAAGTCACTTTGCTGTATAGTATAAGTATAAGTATAAGTATAGTATAAGTCGCATCGATTATGTGTCACCACTGCCCACCCGGAAATGTGGGCTGGTGTGCCAAAAATCGATTGGCTGCCAAATAGTGGCCGCGGGAGAATGCACGGGAGGACTTTAACAAGAATTTAACTAGATTAACTCTTAAAAACAATTATTTGTTTGCTCACAATTATAGCAAAGGTGTGTCTCAGTTGAACTTCTCCTTAATAAATGCACTTTAATTGTCAAATCAGCTGCATTTTGCCTTGGCGGCACAGCAAAATGCAGCTGATTTGATGTTTGCTCCAGGAGTTCCGGAACGAGACGAAGGTGGCCTCTATGGCAATTAAGCCAAGTGTCTCATTAATAGCCACTTTTACCTATTAATGAAAATCTTGGCTTGCCATATTGCTTGAGGGCCCTCTAGCGGCTGAAAATGGTAGTGTTCAATATTTTCCATGTCAGAATGAATGAAATTGTCAGATCTCAGCCAAAAATTTGTGTTAAAAATATGAGGGAAAAATGTATATTAGTCGATTTTGTGTATAAGTCGCAGGACGTGCAAATTTATGCAAAAAAGGTGCGACTTATATGGTGAAAAATACAGTACACAACCACAAACAAACACATTTGACAACACACCCACCTATGAACAAGATGAAACAGTCCTATGAAAACAACAGACAGTTTTCATGCCTCGACTGTTTAAAGACATAGTTCTCAGAACTGCACAGCTAGATGTTAGCTGCATCTTAGCTGTAGCGTTATACACCGAATTAGGATTTGAGAGTGGTATCTTTCTTCTTATGCAGTTGCACTTTGCTTTACAAAATGATAAACAGTTGGTGTACTCTTATACTGATGACTCAAGTAATGTGTTTTCCTCCGTTTCACCTCGTTCCTGGTGGCAGCTCTGCGTTCCAAAGAAAGACAGGATGCTAGTAAGAGAAGAGTGTGGTTTGCAGTGTTTACTTTTAACAAAACATTTTTTCAAATGTTTTTCTGCGTCCTGGCAGCAGTTTGTTTGTAATTTTAACGCTAGTGTGAATTTGATGCAGAGTTCGTGCCCTGCAGCTCAACCACTGTAATCATGAGCCCTTCAAGTTGAAGTAGCCAGCAGGGGTTCCTGTGTTTTCATTGAGCAGCATAAGTGCATTTAAGTTTCAGGGTAAAAGTTCGGCCTTTTATTTAATTTGTTTTTTTTTATATCACACTCAACCTTGCTCAGGGATATTTTGGAGATGCCTGGAATGTGTTCGACGCCCTGGTAGTGATTGGCAGCATAGTTGACATTGTTCTCAGTGAGATTGATGTAAGTAAGTTCAGCTGCAGTCGGCCTCGCTGCACTTTGACCTCTTCCTCCGCCGCACACCTTTGCAGCAAGTTTCAATGGCAGGACTGTGATTTCTGACTTTTTATCCGATCTTTCCTGACGCTTTATCTCAATTTCTCCTCCCCTCATCCTGCCATTCCAATTCTCTCTCTTCCTTTGAATTTTCCACACCTCTCTGACCATCTGTCCAAATCTCCACCTCTTTCCTTCCGTTCATCTTTTTTCATTCCTCTTCGGACCCTTGCACGTTAACTTCAACAGCACTATTTTGCTGACGCTTGGAACACATTTGATGCCTTAATTGTTGTCGGTAGCGTCGTCGATATAGCTATCACTGAAGTTAATGTAAGTATGACTTTTTTTTGCCGACTTTCAAGTTGAACTGAACCCTTACAGAAAAGCCACATGGCAAGTGCCTCCTTTACATTAAAGTATCCTCTAGTGGAAGATCACTTTTAAAAACAAAAACTATAAAGATAAGATTTTGTTAAATGTCTTTTATGTATCATATTAGTAAGCTACAGTAAATGATTATTGATATGGTCCATTGGCTTTTCTTTGGTAAAGCTTCAGTTGGACTTGTACATATTTAGTTTCCACTTTAAATGCTGAAATAATCTGACTCATCTTGATTTTTTTTAACTGTTTTCTCTATATGTATAATTACCTTGGTGATGTTTTTAGCTGCATGTCATGATAAAATTTATAACAGTTATGCTGGTTGTTTTCAATTTGTCCTAAACAAGTCGCTCACATTTCCTCGTGAGCTGCGTAAATTGTTTCATTCAGAAAAGGATTGTTTATGATGTGGTTTTCTAATTTTTTATTATTTTTTTACTGTTGTTCATTCTGTTCCCGTAGAAACTTGTAGAGGCAAGTATGGCTATAAAAACTGTTGCTTGTGTGTAACCTGTTGTTGATGCCAACTTTATCTTTGGAACCCCTCTACAGTTGATTAAAAACGTAATTACTCGCTGAATAATTCATAGATTAGACACAAGATGGATGACTGGGACTTTACAGCAGTGTAAAAATATTTAATTGAAGTTTCACACAAGAGATAGGAGTTGTCTTAAAATTTATTTCAGAACTCAAAATAAATGTATTTTTCTCTCCTGTACTCAAACGATTATCACTTTTCTTAGCACAAAACTACTAAAAAGAATAAAGATCCTCTTTGTGGTTTAGCGCTTGGTCAAGTAAAAGAGTTTCAAACATTTATAGAATATCCTTAGCAACATATTTTAATGGAATAAATAAAACGATACACTTTCTTGCTGGTGAGACAGTGTAGCACACAGTACCTGAGTGCTCTCCTTCCTGAGCTGCAGTTCTGTTTTTCTGGAGTAATATTTAACATTTTCAGTGGTGTGTTTTAAAATGTGTGTTTGCATGAGTGTGTTAACTAACGCTGTTTGAAACATAAGATAAAATTGTGATTTTGGGTTAATCAATGTTTTGCATGTGTGTGTTTTACATATATGCAGTTCTGTTTTTTGGTACAAGTGTATGCAGGGTTGTGTGTGTCTGTGTGTTTTACTGTTGGGTACATGACATCGATTTCACTAGGGCTTTTATTTGATAGAAACACCTTTCATGGCATTTATTTCTGATTTATATTGCATGAACATCATTCAGATTCTGTTCCATTTAAGCATAGCAGCTGCTGTGTCGTGCGTTTGCCTCGTCAGTATTTGTGACTTTCTTTCAGGCATGAGTTGAACTGAACTTTTTAAATGCATGTTGTGGTGTCAGTCATCTCATTCCCTAACATTCCTGCCATGTTCGCCTCTCACAGATGGCACTCGGCCACCCAGTCCACTCCCCGCCGGTCAGTGTTTAACATAGAGCCTTGTGAAGTTTGCACCCATTTTTATTTTTTTTTTTTTCATTATTATTTTTGGCTTGCTCAGTCTTTACCTCCAGACAGAATGGCCCTGGAGCTCCGAGGTTGAAAATCCTACACAACGTTAAGGATAATTTAAAACTGAATCTATGAGGGTTAAACTTTTACTTGAAATACTTCCAAATATTCTCATTTTCTTGCCTTAAAGTTGTGTAGACCACTGCAGCTGTGCATAAAGCTGTTAATGCATCAAATATTACAGGTCAATTCATGCAACAGCCTGGGAGAACCAAAAAAAAAAAATATATATATATATTTTTTTTTTTTCAGAGTAACAGACTCCTGTTTTAGTTGTAGCCTTCAAATTAAAACTTAACAGGAAGAATTCAGAGTAATCGGATAAAACTGTGAGACTACGGGCAGATCAGAAGAAACGTAATTACAGCTGATTTAGTTATTTTCCACTGAAGGTGGTTTAAATTCAGCTGAGCCTGAGGTTCTTTGTTGATCTTGTGTTTGTCTATGTGAGTGACCGTCTTTGTGTTTTTTGTCTTCCTGTAGTGAGCTCTTAAAGCTCAGAATGGAGCACATGTGTAGTGCAGGTGTGTAGACTCCAGTCAGGTGCATGAACTCCCACAACAACTTAATCTACTTCTTTCTTCTTTTTCTCTTTCCTCCTTCTCCTCTCTATTTAAACTGTGTAAAGTCCTTTCCCAGCGTTTGTCTCAATGGCTGGTTTCTTCCTTCCCTTTCTGTCTTTCTTCTTTTTGTGTCGTTCATTTAAATCTTTTTTTATTTTCATTCTTTTTGCACCGGACTGTGAGTGCGCCATGCTGTGGCAGTTTTATTGCGGGGCACTGCTAGTTTGCATGGTTTGCTGCAGTGCTATGAGGTCACCACTGGCTCCTTATTAGTGAAATGGTTTGCGCGAGTGCAGTGCTTTTGCAGCAAAGTGGCCATGCCGAACGCATGCTTCATCAACGCTGTGGCCAGGATTACCTAAAGAACCTCCTCGAGCTAATCCAGCTTTTTATTTTAAATCATCTCTGCTTACTCTGCACCTCATACTGACAGTTTGTCATGCCGAGAGATCCGAGCAAAGCCATGTCTGTCTGGAGTTGGAGGGTTTTTTTCTGTTTGTTTGTTTTCTTCATTGATCTGTACAGTATTACTCATCGACATGATTAAAAGCTCTTTCTTTAATTATAAAATCATATTTATCAGGTAAACTACAACAGTATGATTAGTTTTGTGTTATTTTACACCAGGATTTTTTTGTCTACAAATACTCAATGATTAAGGATGATATGCTACAATTTAATGTTTACAATGACAATTATAAAGTTATTGTGTCTGAATGTGAACAACTGTGTTTTTGAATGGGTCTGATATACTCAGCCTATGTTTGGTTACAATTTTTTTTTGGTTGAATATATAGAATATTTTAAAGTTGTTGAACCAGAGGAGTCAGAATCATAGCTGTTTTTTTTCTGCCGTGACTAGCACTTCATGAACACTAATTATTTTGTGTCCATTAAGTTAATTTATTTTAAGCTTTTTTATAACCAGAAACTGAAGCGTTCAGGATATAGCTGTGTAAGAAACCCAGATGATGCTTTTATCACCCCATCATTCTATAACATTTGTTGTAAGTTAGTAAACTTGTCATTAACTTTGTTTAAAGCTCACCAAAGACATCTCACCATGAAATTCATTTAATCTCTCAAATTATCGCCACTACTCTGGGGGAGGGATAAAGTTGTTTGTCAGTATTTCATGTTAAGTAAGTCATTTAATGTTTGTCAGTCTGATGTCCTGTTAAAGAGGATGGTTCAGAGGTTTTAAAAAGGGTTCTTTGGAAAGGTTGTAAACGGTCATGAACTTTTGAAGAAACAGAGTTTAAACCTGACTGGATTGACAAGTTAACAAACTAGTCTGAGCAAGGCTTAAAATGAAAGTGGCTTGCGTTTTATTTTAAAACAACTCCGTCCATCCATTATCTTCCGATTGTTCTGAAGTTGGTTTGCGGGGGCAGCAGCTTGAGTAGGGAGGCCCAGACATCTCTTTCCACAGCCACCTCTTCCAGCTTGTCTGGGAGGATTCCAAGGCATTCTCAAGCCAACCAAGAGATGTAGTCTCTCTAGAGTGTCCTGGGTCTTCCCAGGGTCTCCTACCAGTCGTCGCCCAGGGAGCATCCTTACCAGATGCCCGAACCACCTCCACTGGCTCTTCTCGATGTGAAGGAGTAGCTGTTCTACTCCGAGTCTCTCCTGGATAACTGAACTTCTCTCCCTACCTCTAAGGGAGAGTCCAGCTACCCTGGGGAAACTTGTTGCAACCTCCTGTATGCGCATTCTCATTCTTTCAGTCACTACCCAGAGCTCATGGCCATAGGTGAGGGTAGGAACATAGACTGACCGGTAAACAGAGAGCTTTACCTTACAGCTCAGCTCCCTTTTCACCACAACGAACCAGTACAGAGTCCACAATACTGCAGACACTGCACCAGTCAGTCAGTCAATCTCACACTCCATTCTTCCCTCACTCGTGAACAAAACCCCAAGAGACTGGAACTCCTCCACTTGAGGCAGAACCTCACCCTCGACTTGAAGAGAGCAATCCACCCTTTTCTGATTGAGGACCATGGCCTCAGATTTGGAGGTGTTGATTCTCATCCCAGACGCTTCAAACTCTGCTGCAAACCGCTCCAGTGAGAGCTGAAGATCACTGCATGATGATGTCAACAGGACCACATCATCTGCAAAGAGCAGAGAAGGAACCCTGAGGCCATCAAACCGGAATCTCTCCGCCCGCTGGCTGCACCAAGAAATTCGTCCATAAAAGTTATGAACAGAATCAGTAACAACGGGCAGCCCTGGCGGAGTCCAACTCCCACCCTGAAGGGGTCCAACTTACTCCCGCAATGCGAGCCAAACCCTTGCACCGCTTAGGGACTGAACAGCCTGTAACAACGGGCCCCCAATTCCATACAATCCAATGTCCAAAATTTCATAGAGGAACATTTCAGCTTTAGTTTATAACCCTCTGTATCAATGTCAAGTTTGCATTATGCAGGTATTAGTAGTAAATCATTTTTTGCAAGCACAAACAGAAGAAGCAGTAGTTAACTGTAGCAATTTTGGTGCAGGTGTAGGTGGAACACCCACACCTCCACCCTCATTTGCCCCACTCTGGGCCCCTGAGCAAGGCCCTTAACCCCCACCATCTGCTCCCTAAGCAGGTCTCTCTTGAAAATGAGTTCTCATGTCTCAATGAGACTACCTGTATAAATAAAGGGTAAATGCAAAAAATATATATATATTTTGGTGCAGCCAGAAACACTCCCTGCAGGAATATCTTAATATTTTTTGCCAAAATACACATGTAATGTAAAACTGAAATGTTTATAAGGCTTTAAAAATTGCATTTGCAAAAACGTATAAGCTTTTTGTAGTTGGAGATGTTTTAAGATGACATCTTGGCCCACTTTGTTCTTGGCCCCACGCAGACTAGCCCACATGCGGTCATTCATCCAACCACAATTAAAGTTTATTTCTCCAAACAGAGGTTGTTCAAAGAGCTATCTACAGTAGGTAAATATTATTTGTTCAAAACCTTCCTATTTGTTCACAACCTTCCCACATAACCCCAATTTCAAAGATCTGAATTACCCTAGGTCCAGTATAATAACGTTAAGCTGTAAACTTGTTTTGTGGTAGTCGTTACTTTCTCCCTTATCCGTTCCGTTTCTAAGATAATGTCTGTCATTATGCTAAGTTTGCATAGACATTAGTAGATGAATGTTCATTTTTATTTGTAAGAATATACAACATTTTTGTTGTCTTTGACAAATGTAGTGACGCTGTTCTGTCTTTGTTGTTGACTGACGATTGTTGGCGTTATTTGTCACAATTAATTTGAACCTAATGTTTTTGGCCAAATGTATGTGAGCGCTGCAGGCTCTGTACAAGTCATTAACGCAGGTCTTTGATCTTAAAGCCAACGGAGACTCCTCAGGTGGATGAGATGGGGGTAAGATACTCCACCCCCCTCCTGTTTGTTAGGGCCATGCCATGTTTGGGTTTGCCATGTTGCTGATTTCAGTTTTGTTTGTGTTATCATATACATCCTCTATACTATCATGTTTTCCACACCTGTTCTGTTTGCTCATTTGCATATCTCCTCTGAACATTTGCTGTTTATTTTCCTAAATGTCTGAAGTTATTTTGGAGGAGTGTGTCGCTCAAACGTGACGCTTGAATCCTGTTAGGTGGGAGTGGTTTTTAAGCTGCTCTTCACGTTTGTACTGTTGACACTGCTACATGGTCTCTGCCTACCTTCTGGCGTGGGGTAGGGACCCGTGGATGACCACTGGGATCAGGTCACCCAGCTCTGACCTGTGAACCTCCTGGCCGACTCATTTGGGTTGGTCCCACTGTGACTCCGCATGCAGTGACTTTGGACTGAGGGTGCCATGCTTGAATATACTTGAATATACATACTGTCAAGTATGGCAAAAGGTTTACTCCAGCATGCTTGCCTCCTTGCTTCCTCCTTTGTAGGTCTGTACAGAGACTGGGAATGTGGAAGTGCTTTGAAAGCAGACCAACAGATACATATTGGCTACCGCTACACTGCATGGGAAACTAGCTTTAGAAATTGTTTAAAATTTTAGTCCAAACATACAAGTGATGTTCAAATTTAAGAGCAACCTTTTCTCAATATAAAGATGCAGTGCTGCTCTCTTTGCCCATATGCATCTGGTTGAGGTCTAAGTTCATCCCACAAAGCACACAGCCAGGTGCTCTGTGTTCACACTATACACTGATCCTCCTCCGAGTCTGACTGACTTGACTCAGGTCTGTTTCCTCCCCAGAACACGGAGGACAGCGCTCGCATTTCCATCACCTTCTTTCGTTTGTTTCGAGTGATGCGGCTGGTCAAACTCCTCAGCAGAGGGGAAGGAATCCGCACTTTGCTATGGACGTTCATTAAGTCTTTCCAGGTAAGGAGCAGTTTCTTTAAACAGTCAGTTGCTCAAAGCTAAATAATAGTTGCCCATAATAATCTTGGTCTTTTTTTTTTTTTTGCCTGCAGGCTCTGCCATATGTTGCTCTTCTAATAGCCATGTTGTTCTTCATCTATGCCGTCATTGGCATGCAGGTCAGCAACTGAAAGTGGCAAAGATTTTTGATTTTCCATTCGATCTTACCTGTATTGAATGCAATTACACTTAAATGATGTGTATTTATTCTCCAGGTGTTTGGAAAGATCGCCATGGTTGACGGCACGCAAATCAACAGAAACAACAACTTCCAGACGTTCCCCCAGGCAGTCCTATTGCTTTTTAGGTTTGTAAAAGACTACAGTCAAAGGTGATCAAGAAGAAGAAATTTTACAGATATGCAATCTTTGTATCTTCTCCTCAGGTGTGCCACAGGCGAGGCATGGCAAGAGATTATGTTGGCCTGTATGCCAGGTAAACTGTGTGACCCAGAGTCTGACTACAACCTGGGGGAGGAGATGACCTGTGGTAGTGGATTTGCCATAGTTTACTTTATCACCTTCTACATGCTCTGCGCTTTCTTGGTATGCAAAAATCATACAGTTGTTTTGACGTACTTCTATTTAAATTAGCTTAGCTTTACTCTGGAGCTCTCTGATTTTTGCAACTGTAATTACAGGTTTATATATATATATTTTCCAATGAACTAAACAGATAATCATATTTACAACATAAAACTTGTTGAGACACAGAAAGCATGGCAAGATTACAGAACAGAACAATGCAGGCCGCTACACGTAATTCAATGAATGTGATTGGTCTTTAAAATTATGCCAGCTTTATTAAATATTGTTTCTGCTTATTCAGATCATCAATTTGTTTGTGGCCGTCATTATGGACAACTTTGACTATCTCACACGGGATTGGTCTATTCTTGGCCCTCACCATCTTGACGAATTCAAGAGAATTTGGTCGGAGTACGATCCTGAGGCAAAGTATGCAGTTTCATTAAAATTGTGTTTATTTGCATTCTTTCAACATTGCCATGTAACTTACTATAACTGCTGTTGCTCTCATGTAGAGGCAGAATTAAACATCTGGATGTTGTGACTCTTCTACGTCGGATCCAGCCTCCCCTTGGTTTTGGCAAACTATGTCCTCACAGGGTGGCCTGCAAGGTCTCCTCTTTACTTTTCAGATGCTTTCTGACTCCCAAACTTAAGGTTTAAAAAATAATATAATGGCCATGTTAACGTTCTGTTTTCTCCCTTCTATCAGAGGCTGGTCGCCATGAACATGCCTCTGAACAGTGATGGGACCGTCATGTTTAACGCCACTTTGTTTGCTTTGGTGCGCACAGCTCTGAAAATTAAAACAGAAGGTATGAGCCTACTATGCAATGCATTCTTGGGTTTACTATTTTTTAAAACTCTCCAAGTAGTTAATCAACAAAAAATCTGCACGGCTGTGGACTGGACTGTTCGTGTTCTCAGGAATGTTTGTTTTCTCGTGACGCAGGTAATCTAGAGCAGGCCAACGAAGAGCTGCGGGCGGTCATCAAAAAAATCTGGAAAAGAACCAGCATGAAGCTGCTGGATCAAGTGGTGCCCCCTGCTGGTGGTTAGTGGAACCACCTCATCTAGCCTAATATTTTCATGGCTCAATGCACAAATCAAGCTGCTTTTGTTAAAGCACATAAACACCACATCAGGGCTATTCAGCTGGTGGCCCAGGGGCCCACGGGTGTGCTCAGTTCAGCCCAACAATGAGGTCATTTTTAAATAAAACTAGATTTTAAATCGTAAAACACACTTAATTAATGACAATAACTGCTGGATGGACGACCCCTGAGTTCTTGGCTTTCAGTAACTTTGGTCCCCTGAGCAATTTAGTTGAATAACCCTGCACTACATACTGCTATACTGCTCACATTTAACAAAATGTTTAAGTAAAAATTGGTAGAATACATCCAGACTCTTAAGGTTAAGGTAAAGCTGTTCCATGCTGTTGCTGCTCTGCTCATGTTCTCCTGGTTGTCGTCTCAGGGTGTCCTCTTTAATCTGTGCGTGTTTTGTCCACACTCTGTCCTCCTGCCCTGGGTGCTGATGGAGACCACTGACTATCTGCTAGGCTTGCATGGCCTTGTAGACCACAGTGCAAGTGCATGCTTTCATTGTCGTTTTTAACTAACATCTCTGTCCCCTCTCGCTGCTGTCTCTTCCTCTGGGACTCTCTCAGTGGTCCTAACTTCTTGTCTCTTCTCACTGCTTGAGCGTTTACAGCTTACTGTCCTTACACATAAAAACTCTGAAGCACTTCAGAATATTCTGAAGCAGTTCTGTTTTAGGGTGGTGGCATGGAACTAGTGTTGCCTCTCTCTCTGATCTCTTTCCCCAGCGTGCTTGTTCAAAGTGATTCAGACCCCTGCTTCAGAATGATTCTTTCACACTTTCAAACAAACAAGATTTTAAAACTGGGACAAATGTACGTGCAAGGATTCATCCATCTACAGCTTAAAATGTAGCATACAGTAATTGTTAGGTGCAGAGATGTGCACAAATGGACCCAGATGTATGACACTTAATATAGATCTGCATGTTTGCATGTGCCAAAGCAGAGCATTTAGTTGCATCTTTGAACATTTAAGAAATAATTTGGTTCAAACGTCATTTTGCCTTGTGATTAAAAACAAAACTGAGCCTTTGAGATTTTTGATGGTGTCACAGATATCAAAATTAGTTATAAATATTATGTTCATAAGTAAAAAAGCTAAACATACACATTTTAACAGCAGCCTATTTTCATTCATACTTTCCAACATTTTTTCAATTGCAGTTTAGCCCTCTAACATGGATGAGACGTTTCACAATTATAAGTTTATAACTTGAATAGATGAAATGAGTGCAGTGATTGTTTGAACAATATTTTACTAATTCCACCCAATTTAAAAGGGAACATACATATTTTCCTCCAAAGACGTTTCACATACTGAAATAATACACAAGATGTTGACATTTTTTAGCATTTCTTTCATTTATGAAACCCAATAAAGGATCCGACGTGGTGAATGCTGAAGCAGAGAATGCACAAGATGAACGTTTATATTTAGAAACACCTCACTTGTTGTCTGCCATCGTAAGCCGATGGAGCTTCATTTGTTGTAAACAGGATGAACACGGGGGGAGAAAGGCGTCTCCTTCTCCCTCCCAGAGTGCTGTGTGTGGTGACCTGCTGTCACAGGAAGCATTTGTGTGGTCTGTTCACTCAGATGATGAGGTAACCGTGGGGAAGTTCTATGCCACCTTCCTGATACAGGACTACTTTAGGAAATTCAAGAAACGTAAAGAGGATGGCCTGGTGGGGGCTCACCCTTCCCAGAACAGCACAGCCATTGCCTTACAGGTGAGTACTCGGGTGCATCTGGCAGAAAGTAGTCTGTAAGCGTGAAAGGAACGGAAGATTAATGAAACTTTGTGGTGGATGGTTGTTGTAATCTTGTTAAGTCGAGTCTGTAACGTGTCTTTGCACATTTCACCCAGATATTATCAGGTATGCTAATGTTATGGTTTATGATTCAGCAGGGCGTTCATGATGTGGGTGTACAGTATGAATCTGTTCCTGTGGTTTATATGTTTCTAATGTGCTCCTAGTCTGTGACTTTAATATCATACATGTTGATGTTAAGCATGTGTCATTGTCTTCATGTGTTTTCTGTGCATTACAACTCACCTCTCATAAAATTCATACAGCTTGTGCCCATTTTTGTTACTTAACATAATATGGCTACAGTTTCTCCTCAAATGTCATGCAAAAAGCAGTCCATATCCAAAAGTAAACACCATCTAGTGTTTTTTTTTAATAATGCTTTTGTAGGTAGTATTTGATCTGGAGAACAGGGGAGTATTTAAGATGAAAATGTGCTGGTTGCCTCTTCAGGTTGAAGTTTTTATTCACTCATGATGGGCATGAATGGTCTTTAGTTTGGACTTTTAATGATATAAACTGTTCTTTTCGAGGATTTTACAACACAACTTTAAAGATTTTTGAAAGCTAGAATTGAATGTGCAAGTTTGGATTTATTGTAGATTTTCTTTAATCCACACAGAATCAAAATTATTCATACAGTCTCGAATCCCCTCCTCCAAAAGCAACACCTTAAATCTTGATGGACAAACCAGTTTTAGGGTCAGATGAGACAATAAGGTGAGCTATTTGACCATAATGAAAACAAATATGTTTGAAAGAGTCCAGGTCCTGGTTTTAACCTAAGAACACTGTACCAATGTTCGAGCACGGTGGTGATAGGTAAAGCAATGGAGGATGAGGACTACCTTAAAATTCTTTAAGTTCACGTCAAATAACTGAAACTTGGATACAGTTTGGGTGTTCCAATATGACAATGATCTCAAACACATCAAAGATTTTTGAAGAGATAAACCATGAGATTATTCAGCTTCTGGGTTGGCCATCCAAACCCCTGACCTCAACTTCATTAAATTGAATTCAGGTCTCTCTTGTAAATGAGTCCTCCAGGCTCAATGGGATTAACCTGTCTAAATAAAGGTTGAATGAAAAAAA